CCATATGAGGACCAATATGGAGTCTTGCACGCGTGCAAATCGGATATGTGTTCAGATTGAAAGTAGCCGTTTTTCGGCTAGTAAAATGTTCCAATCTCAAATCTAGCGAACCAATGAATATCGAAGCGTGTTTTAGCTTGACAACGATGTATACCGATGTTGCCACTTATTGACAACATTTTTGATCACCAGGTGCCGACCGAAAATATTTTGGGGGGCCATTTTGTCGAAAAAATCAAACTTTTCCAAACGAGATTTTTTCAGTTCTGAATGAAAGAGCATGGTTCATTTAGTGTGTAAGTGTAGCGGCACGTGTTTCTGTGCATGTAAAAAGCTGATGCAGCGATTGCAAAATCAACATCGAGCGCCGTCTGAGTGTTTTTTTGGAAATAACTTCAAAACTGTCCGGACAGGATCTCGGGATGTTGGCTAGAAGTCGAAGAGAGATCGCCTGCTGGGGTTCTCGGGCATAGCGACGAGGTGCTCCGAGCCCGCTACATCTCGAGGGACCGCCTATAGTTCTGCGCGACCAGGGAAGGTTTCTCGCGGGGCGTCGTCAGGGACAGCGTTCGGAAGGAGATACGGGCGCCACCTGGCGGTCCACATGGGCAATCGCGGCAGCGAGCAGCACCCATCGGTGCGCGATGGCGTCCCGCGCACCCGCGACCCGCCTGCATATGACAGTATTTTGCGGTGTAGATGGACGGAGCGATTCAGTGCTTGCCGGCAAGTGAGCGGGCCGGCGTGGCTACGACAAGGACGAGGAGCCAGACGACCGTAGCCCTGCTTTTACGCAGATAGACGTTTGTGGGTAGCGCGGCTCAAAACACAGTTTCGCTCTGTTTTCGGAGACGGCTGACATGCTCTATTGTTTCCCACTTGACCCCAGGCGTGACGGCATAAAGATGCATTGGTCGCAAGGTAACCCAGGACCCGTGGGGGCCGCCCGGGTTGCTTGATTGTGCATGGCGGTAGCGGAGTCTATCCGTGGTGTCTCCGCCTTGGGAGAAGACAGCAGTCAGCCTGCTCTCTTCCGACGTGGTGTACGCCGGGCCTTATGAGCGATTGGTGACGGGATGTTCGGGAGGGATAGGGATCCCACCATCGACGCTCATAGGGAAGACGACGAAGAATCAGGTCGCCTTAAAGGCCGGTGAGGCCGAGTCTCCAGAGCAAGCCGGTCGAGGAGACCGTAAGGCGTGCACGCATGTCGCGCCGGGCGCTCGTCTGCCGAGAGGCTCCACCGTCCCATGAGCGCGCTGTCTACCCCCAGGCCTCTGAGGGGCGCGCCGTGGGGCGGTGCCTTGCAAAGCCTGCTCGGTGGGCGGGAGGCGAGGGCGCAGAAGTGCCGAAAACGACGGCTCCGTGCTGGACGAGGCGCTGCCTAAGGCGCATGCGCGGCAGCAGGAAGCTGCGAGCGGTGGGTGTGGCCGGGCGAATGGTGGGCCGCTCATAGTGGACGGAACGCGGGGAGCGTCGTCCAAACAGGGAGCCGTCACTCTGGAGGTCAGGCGAGGGAACGAGTCGCCGTCCCGCTTCGGACATCCCGTGTCGGCCCAGCAGGTGCGTCGGTGTCAAGCTAGCAAATTAACACAATACACCCTAAACGGGGCTTAAACGTGGCTTAATGGTAAGATCGAAATGTGTTAAATGAATTCAACTTAACTTAACGAGGACCCACGCGGACGAGCCAATTATAAGGCCAAGGCGCAGGAAAAAAGGGGGGAGGGGGGTCCCACCCATGTGCGAGCCAAGGATAAATGGGATGATGTGGGCACAAGCGTATGCGAATGCTTGGGGTGAGTGTGGTGGGGCGCCGAGTGCATGGAGTCTGCGTGGATTAGTTAAGGCCGGGGGGGGGGGGGCCCCGGGCCATTACCCAACGGGCCGTTGCCAACATAATTCGCCAGTGCGTGGGACCCTTGCCAGTGGGGGTATAAGTATGCATGCGGTCCCGTTTTTGCCCCGCCTAAATATTATCGTAAGCCATAGGGTGGAGGTGGGGTACCGTGGTTAAGGGCGCACAGGCATGGGCGGGGAGACAGCCGTTCATGGTGCCTGATCGGACCCACCATCCCGGTCACCGGTCACCCGCTTCATCCTAGCTCGGTGGCTCATACAAGTGTGCTTTGATGTCGGGTGTACCGGAGCCACAACGTGTCGATTCATGCGCTAACACCAACTGGGTCATATGCCGACCAACGGGCTCCTCATTATAACTTTGCTCTTGTTGGGAGGCGTGACAGCGGCAGCCGGCGGCGTACAACATCCAGCGGCGGCCAGGTAGCCGCGCACGTCGCCCATCGCGGACCCCCTCCCCCCCCCCACCCCCCCCCCCCCCCCACAGAATCACTGCCTCAAACCAGCGTGAAATCTGTTGAGAAGATGGGCAAAGAAATTACAAACCTGACAGACATCATTTGTTAGCACAATTCCACAATGCTTGCCTGAGAGGCTCGAAAGTATCTTTGGAGGAGGTCAGGTTTATCGGTGCTGATATGTTTGGAAAAATGACTCGGTTTGGGTTCAAGATGTCATTCAAGGATTCCGCTGGAATATTGCGCAAGCAACGGCGCGTCCGTCCGTCGGGTAAATAAATATAAAAGCCAGTGAGGAAGTGTCAGCTAAAAGCTCAAAAAGTGATGACCGATTGCACGCAGCACAGCGCCAATACGGTGCAGACAGTCTAAAACACGGTGATTGAGTCATTTTGACAGAAAAACAACTCACTTCGAAACATAAATTTCTTCCCCTACGAATCAGCTGTCCATATACAAATGGCACGCCTTTCTGAACACATGTGTTTACCAGGCAAAATTTCAGCTAGACCGTTATTGACACTTGTTCGCAACACGCCATGGCAAAGTGGCTCATGGTGGATTAAGCCGAACAGTGAAGAAACTGCCGCACCAGCCACTGCTTCATGGCTGACGGACAGCGAGATTATCATCCCGAGAACATGTTCGACATCTGATGTGCTTCTCTAAACGCTTTGCAGTTTTGTCTTCTGAGCAGTGGAAACAGCCTCCCGGACTGGACCCCGCCACCTGGCATAGCAGGATGATGGAAGCATGAATGGGAACATTCGAGTGAACTGCGCTGGGTTTTATACCGATATACTCACAGAGCAGGTAATTACCCGAACAATAATGATAGTATGATATACGGCCGGCTAAATGCCGAAAGCTCCTGATCTGCAGTCCCCATTCAAGAGAACACAAAACGGATTTAACACGCGAATTACAAGCATCGTAGAAGTATCTTCTCAAGTGACTCGTATGTAGGCGTTAAGGCGTACGTCTATTTACCAACATGCACACGTCATCCAAGTAACGCAGTACCTACTGCAGCGCATCACGCCACAGTGAAACACCTTTAAATTCACTCACCATGCGTGTGAAACTCACACGAAGCATGAACAGGTGTGAGCCAAAGACTGCTTGTGACTGCGACTGTGACTGACCACACACAAACATGACCGACCTAAGGCAACGACTCAGCCTCAGATGTGCGACGATCATGGGAGGGGGCCTGGAAGTGTGGTGGCCGTCGGCGGCAGGCCGGATGAGCGATTCGCTGAAGGATTTTATCGCCGCTGCGCCCAGGCTTAAAACACAAGTCACAAATCCCAAGCCTCTTACCGTTGTCATGTGGTAGTCCGCTTTCGCTTCCAACGCGGGAAATCCCGGTCATACAGAGCGAAGTGAAGACCTTGCACATGGTCCGCAATCTGCACATTCGTCGCCTTCCGTTGTAAATACAAACCGTTGGCCGGTCAGCGCAATGGCTGGTATCTATGTCAATGTAAAATGTTAATGATCAAAGCGGTTTAGAGTGCTGTAGTGTTTCAGAAAAGCCTGTAGTTCAAAGATGTTTGAGTACAGACACGACTCATTTAAAACAAGCTATTTTTAGATTGTGGTCGAAATTTTAAAACATCTTAATCCTAGAATACCGCTGAGACTGACGCATGTTTCTTTATCACCTCTGGCGGGCTTAAGGTGGATTTTCGAAAGATAAGACAGTGGCATTAACCTTATTCCTTGGCAAAAGCCAGGAGAATGGAAATATAGTTAGGTTGATATTTCAGTAATATGCCTTTCTCAAAACAGTAGCAGAAGACGTCTGCTATGGTTTGGAGAAAGGCATGTTGCCGATATATCAACCTAGCCATATCTCCATCTTCCCGTTTTTTTCTTCTCGAAAATAAGACATATACTGCTGTCTTATCTATGTCAACAATGCTCCTCGCTATTGCACTGAACAACTTACGTTATGGGTTTTCGAAAGCATGACCGGCAGATGTGATCCAATGCAAGCTGGCAACTTAAAGGGTGAGCAAAACGTTGAAGTGTGTGCCAAACAACTGAAAAGGTGCATGAATTTTCACAGCCTTCTGGTATGTTCAATTTAAACCTACCTGGCCTCAACATATTTGCTTTCAGTCTTAGTCAAAAGTATGCAAAGTCAAGTCTTCCTTTCCTGGCATGACATCAAACGTGGCCGTTTTTATTTGGCACCTTCCACTGAATTAGGGCCCAAATAGATGTTACCATTTTTGGGACTGTACGCTCAACAGAGCGTTACCAGGAGGGGGGGGGGAGGGGGGCGCCACACATAACTTTTCTTGTATTTCTCATCCCGGCTGATTCGAGAGCATCCTCCGCATGCTCACAGCGCAGCATTTGAACCGGGATAGCACGAACAGAAGTCACCATCGGAAGCTGGCGCCGTCGAATTTCTGATCTACGTCCTCAGCTGTTTAGCTATGAGCGCTGTGAAACAAAAATGCATTCCGATAAATTTTCGTATAAAGCGCCCAAGTTGGAATACTGAGACGAGCTTGGTATAGGGTAGGTCTAATTCACTTCAAATATGCACCCATCCACGTGGTTGGGGATTATCTTTAGAGCATTGAGTAGATACTAGGCATACGGTTGGGCACCTTAGTGCACCAAACTGATGTAGCCTTTGCACACCATGCCACAGTCAGTGACACACTACTCAATGAGATTGCCGAGGATCCAGTCAATGTAGGAGGACACCTTGGTGTAGGTTCCGGGAAATTTAGTGCTGCCACAGCCGACGCCGGTGGAGACGATGCCAATGAGCTGGTAGGGGCCATCGGGTGGCTGTACCATCAGTGGACCCCCCGAGTCTCCCCGGCACGCGCCCCACGGCTTGTCGTCGCGGCTGCCCGCGCAGATCTTGATGCCCTGAAAACCTTCGGGAAATTTCGTGTTGAACGCCGATGCCTTGCGGTAGGCGTCCTCACAGGCGTCCTCGTCGACCACGCGCAGTGGCACCTCCTGCAGCACGTCGGCCGTCTCGCCGCCGAACTCGACCAAGCCCCAGCCGGCCATCTCGACATCCTGGCCGTGGTGCTGTGAACAGGCCGGCGGCGGACAAGCGTACAAGCGTAGCGTATTCAGAGCTCACCCTGCTTTCAGCGCAGCGCAGCACACCTGCGAACCATCAGCGGCATCCAAGACCAGTCATAGTCGCAGGCCGTGTTAACCGATCTGGTCTCCTGACATGGGTGCCTCTTTAACATTGGTCGGCGGACTCGGTGACAGGCCGGCGACATATCATTGTATTTCTTATGGCCCGGCCGGTCGGCCGTTTGGCTGTTGCTAGCAGCCGACCTTCAGTGACCCGAACTAGACCATATACAATACTGCAAAAATCTAAATATGGAGATTCACCTGACTGCAAGGACATGCTTCAACCACTGCGATGCGACAGATAAGAGTTGGGCGGTGACTTTCAATGCACTGCAATTCTGCAAGTGGCGTTCGCATTGCTGTGTCATGAATACTTACTAGGGTATAAATTTTTAACTTATTGATTTCGTTAGCGGTGCCGCGATTCGGCACCCTGTCCTCCGCGACGAGAGGCACTGACAGCTCAGGGTAAGTCGGCGGGATTATCCAATCAAGGTCACAGGCGTAGGAACGCTTCAAAAAGGGGGGTGCCAAGCTCAGGGCGCACTGCAGGATTTTTTGGACAGCAAGCCCGATGACCGGGGGAGGGGTAGAGATGATGGCTGTTACCGCTCTTCAGTTAAATGTCACTGCTGCTATGCTGGAATGCTGGATATGCATATGGATATGCTGGATATGCATCTAGAGCTATTTTTACTGTCGCGCAATCTTGCCTATTCGACTCATCTGTGTCATTCGGCAGATAAGGCTATCCCGCTTCCCGAGATCATTCGTCCATTTCAACATGTAATTTCCTGGGGACGCGAAATTCCACGCGTCGGTAGGCATGTTGGGTCATTGAGGAGGCATCCACCTTCACAGGGTAGATGCCAAAACACGGCCTGGACATTGGCTGGTGAGAATTTTAAACGTAGGTCGATTGTTCACAGTGCCACAGGTTTTTCATGCGCCTTCATTTCGTTGCTTTTCAAGAGATAAAGCTTGGCACAGCATTATAGGTGGAAATCACCAGATTATAAGATACGTAAAATCGTAATCATTATAAACACGTAAAACCACCAGATTTGTTCCATGTTATTGTGACTGACGCCAGCTTTCTTCATTTGCCATCATCATGTCGACGCATGCGTTCGTTGAGGGGTCCAGTAGATTGGGCACTCAGGAGACCCCTAACGTTGCAGACCCCTAACGTATGGGACCCCTTTCGTGGACAGGGAGCCCCGTAAGTAGAAGACCAGGGGGCCTCATTGCCTTTCCCGGTCAGGGGTTAAAGAGGATTTCCGTTCCAACCCGCCACCCAGAAGCCCAGAAGCCCTGGGGGATGTGAAGTGGTTAATGTGCCTGTGTTAACCATAGCGAGTCTGAGAAAACACAGGTGCAGGGTTCGATTCCCCGCGGTGCCCGCCCCTTCCGCTGGGATGAGAGGCTGGCGGCGCCACATAGCCTCAGCAGCAGAGTGCGTCATAAAGCCCCAGTGACACGCCTGTAATCTCGGGGGAAAAGGATAGCGATGACTCGGGTCACAGTTCTCGTAAAACCCAACAGCGTTGATCCCTGCAAGTAATGCCGGGGCGGGCGCCGAGCGCGCAATAAGGATCATCGGAAAATAAGGCTTCTGAATTTCTTTCGAAAATAATTCATACAGTTAGAGCATTACTCTGAGAGAATCTATTTTACAATCTTGAAGTTGTCCTCTGGACAGATTAATAGTTCCAGCAACGCGGAAAATAGAGATTTTACCTTTACTCTTTCTGTTTAACCACCAGACTACAGCACCACTTCGCGGTGTTGTAAAGACCAATGCGTTATCGTCATCAATTTAAAAACTGCACAGGTGAAATATACGTCAGGAATATCTCCAAATGTACCATGTGTTGTTCAACAGCATTCAAGGATCGCCTGTTCGCCTGTTCGCCACGGGCTAGTGTTGGATTTGGGGCCGACGCTGCGTGGCCAAAGGCGGCTGCCACGCCCGCGTCGAGGTTTTTGTTTCTACGATTTGGGAGCCCGCTTGCTCAAAGGTACGTTACATAATTTGTGCCACTTATCAATTCTGGTGTATGTTCAACATATCCAGGCCAAGAGGCTTGGCTATGTTAATCCAAACTATTCAACCATTTTTATCAAAGCTTACATTCGCGGAGTCCTCGCTGTCTTTGTTCAACCCAGATAAGAACTCTGACAAAGTCTCTGAGGTCTGTCGGTTTAAACAGAGTCCTCTGGACCATTTTAAAATAAAGAGCTCCAGCGATTTGCTTCATGTAGCCATTTAACGCGTGATGTTGCCAGCTTGTTTACTATAAACTTAAGACAGAATCGATCTCGCGGCAGCGTCGGGCCTATAAGGTACCATGTGGTATGGAGGGCATAATGTGTGATCTATATATATATATATATATATATATATATATATATATATATATATATATATATACATATATATATATATATACATGTATATATATGTTTATTAAATTTTTATATATACACTAAATATATATATATATATATATATATATATATATATATGTATATATGTATATATATACATATATATATATATATATATATATATATATATATATATATATATATATATATATATATATGCATCCCTCTCTAATAAAACATGTCATCAACAAAAATGATCAGCATCCGAAGATTTTGTTCGGTGTCTTCTTCTATCATGGGGCCCTTTTTCTACCCTGTGCCCCCTTGCCAAGATTCTACCTGCGCTCCTGGCTTCTGGCTACCATCATAGTTAAATGTAGATGGTAAAAATCAGAAATATAAAAACAGGTTTTCATTAACAAGTTGGCCGTACTCGGTGCTTTTTTAATTCTAGGAGAGAGGCATTTTACTACCGGGGGATCATTTGCCATGTGCCCCTCCCTTGCAAAGACTCAAGTTTTGCGCTTGTACTGAAACATAGGGGCCCATCGGTTTGGGAGGCTCTTGGTAATGTACCCCGTCTCTCATTCCAAATTCAGATGCGTCGTCTCTGGTGAAGAATACGGTATTTGCGTGATATGTCTTGTGTTTGAAGTACTCGTTACTGTAAACGTGGGGAGAATGTTCGGAAAGCACGAGCCTGCCGTGAGCTACAGCAGGGTAGAGGGCGCGAGGCTTGGGGTGAAGTGTTGTAGAGGCGCTGAAATCACAAGCAAACCGCGATATCAGCGCCTCCGCGTCCCGCAGCTCGCAACCGATGCAACTAATATTGTGACTGTCAATGTGATTTACTTTGTGATCATCTGCTTTCTCAGTTTGTACCATGTTTATTGGTATGAAAGCCCGTGAAGGTTTTGATGAAATCTGTGGCTTTGCATGCGAAATATATCGCTATGTTTCGTCACTGAGTTGGCTGTGTTGTCATAATGACGGTCACGGCGTTGGTTGGCTGCGCTCGTAATTGCCTGATTTGGCAAATTAAAGTTGGGGCGACGAAGTTCGTGATTTTTCCAATCAACACAATCATAAACTCCCTCCAAGGCGTAATATTTATGCACCTTGTTTCGAAGGGTTGTTGGAAAATACTGCCGCCGTTCCAGTGAGTTTGGCTGGAGGGGAATAATGACCTTCCGTGAGGCTCCATTAGGGAAACGCAATGACGTGTCAGACTCCTTTATAGGCCCGCCCTGACTCTGTGACGGGCGCAGGTAGTGACCTGATGATTTGTTGTAGGCCGCCAGGTCACGTGCCACTGTGACAGAGAGCAGCAGCACGGGCGGGGGGAGAGGATGAGCGAATCTCACAGGATATTCCGACTCAACATCACCCCTATGGCTTTGGACGGCAAAAAGCACCTAGTTTCTCTTCCGCCCGCATTGGTCACACGCTGACCCCGTCGCCGGCTTCAGTTGACCCGTTTGGCGGCCTCCACTGAGACGTGGTGCATGAGCGGGCTGGCGACCGCCATCAGGTTGTAGGTGTAGATGATGGCCAGGTCGACGTTGAGATAGGCCATCGTCCTGCCGCCGATCAGGTGGATGTACTCCTCCACCAGCTCAGTGGCGCCGTAGTAGCCGAACTCGCCTGAGCCCCAGCTGGCGAAGACGGGCGTAAGCCGCAGCCGCCAGCCTGTCAGGCAGGAGGAGGCGTTTGGTCTAGGCGAGGGCGGGCTGGCAGACCAGAGCCAGGCCATGTAGCCACACTGCTTGGTGGAGCACGTCCTTGTTTTGGTGTGTTTTGATGGTAATGCATCCAAATGAAGGGTGGCCCAGCTTTGTTTCACGCCTCAATGGTACGCCTTTAACCTAAGCCTTTTGCTGCGCGAGGTGTTGGGAGAGCGTGTCGGAAGTCTTGTTTGTAGTTTGTTATATGGTAACGCATGGAAAGAACCGACTACAAAATGGTTTTTTGCACCGCACTTTCTGAAATGTTTGTTTCGTCTATGAATAGCAGATCTAAAGAGGATATGGACGCCGGAGTGTAGAGCTGTGCGTTTCTGCAAGCTGGTTATAATGCCCGTACCTACCTAACGCATTCCACTCATTAAACCGGATTGAGTTAAGGGAGATGATGTCTTTGGGTGGTGATGAAAGCTGATGTGATGAACTGATGCCGACAGCGACGTAAATGGTATCAAATGATTTCAAACCGGATTCAGAGTACGGAATGCGGTACGACTTCGTCAGTATTTCAGAATAGTGCTGCAATGTTAAGTATAGTTGTAAGTCAGTTTTGTTTTCATGTCCTGTTTATTCGAAAAATGATTTTAACATCCAACTCCGACGTCTTTTGGAGAAGATGCTCCGCGTCTTTCGTCCAGAAAAGAAATGGAAGAGAATGTCAAGTTTATGGCACTATGCGTAGGTATTCATCGGAAGACGCCTGCCATAACTGAGCACCAAACAAGGGATCCTCAGTGTAGGGTCCTCCGCAAATGGAACAAAAGGGAAAGGACTCCAGACCAACGTCGAGGGCCCCTGAGTGTCGAGTGCCTTGGTGTGTTAACTTATATGGACCCCAACAGCAGCGTGGGCACTTCCGAGCACGTGAATAGAACGCGAAACTAACGTGAAGGGCCCGTGATTTACCGAGAGTGACCCAGCAGGTCAACCAATGGGTTCCCGGCAATAGTGTAAAGAGTCTTTTGGGCGAACGGCAAGAATCCGTGGAGGGCCCCTGACCGATCGGAAAGTTGACAATTAAGGCCTTGTAAAGGCGTGGGGCCCTCTGAGCAGATGCAAATAGACCACAAGGGCAACGTGGAAGGCCCCTAAGCGATCGCATTGACCCGGTAAGCAGACATATAGTGTCAACGACAACAGCGAAGGGCTTGTGGACATCGTAAAGAGTTTCAAAATCTCACCAATGGCTACCCTCTTTATAAATGAAGAACTGCATTGGTCTGCTCATGGGCCCTTACTTTTGCTTGGAGCTGTTCTTGGTTGCCTGGAGGCTCAAAGTCGCCCAATTTTGTTCTGCTTTGTTTTGAAAAACTTGTTCCGGCTGGTTATGGCCACTTTAGAAGGTTAAGGGTCCCTTTGGGCCAAAGAGGGTCATGACCTCGTGCCCCCTGAATCTGCCATTGAAGCAGTCCGACTCGCTTGATAGGTGCGCTAAGAAGGAAAAGACCGCGGCGCTCAAGAGTAAAAGTTTCATCCATCCAGACGGCACACCCTGAGTGGCTTTCTGGAGGTGGGCAACTCTTTTATGGGAAGCTTTATGTTGCATGACCACAGTGCCGACAAACGTCAGCTGCATTCATTCACATACCACAATCGGCACGGATTGCATCAGGGAATTCCCGTACACTTGTAAGAAACCTGCTACCGGGAAATTTCATCAGTCTGGGCACTCTGCCATGCTGCCGTCACATGATGACCAGCCGTTGATAAGCCCGACACATGCAACGCACTACGGACCAGAGGTGCGCAACACCAGCGGTGCATTGAAGTATAAACAATGGGCTTATACAGACGTCATATCACTGGAAGCACCGCGCCAAAGCGCTGCGGAATCTATTGAGAGGATGGGCACAGAAACCCAATACAATACATCAACATAGATCCAACGCACAAATTACAGGCTTGACAGGCATCACCTGTTAGCACAAACACAGGGCGCTTGCCTGAGAGGCTTGAAAGCATCTTTGTTGGAGAACGGTTTTTTTGTGCCGATATTTTTGTGGAAATGACTCGGTTTAGGTTCGAGATGTCATTAAAAAAGATTCCGTTGGTACATTGCACAAGCAGCAGCGCGTCTCTCCGTTGGGCATATGAAAATGAAAGCCAGTGAAAATGTGGCAGATACAAGCTTTTAATGTCATGACCGACTGCACGCAGCCAGCGCCCATACGGCATGCGCATTCCAAAACGCGGTGACTGAGTTGTTTGACAGAATAGCAGCTCACTTCGGGACGTAAATTTCTTTACCTACGGATCAGCTGTCCAATACACAAATATCATCACTAACTGAAAATACGCCTTTACAAATGCAAATTTCAGCTAGACTGTTATAGGCACTTGTTCGCAACACGCCACGGCAAAGTGGCTTATGGTGGATTAAGCCGAACAGTGAAGAGACTCCCGCACCAGCCACTGCTCCAAGGCCGACGGACAGCGAGATCAGCACCCCGAGAACATGTTCAACACCTGCTGTGTCTCTCTAATCGCTTTGCAGTTTTGTCTTCTGAGCGCTGGTAACAGTCTTCCGGGCTGGACCCCACCGTCTGCCATAGAAGAATGATGGACGCATGGACGGGAACATTCGAGTGAACTGCGCTGTTTTTGTATACCCATATACACACAGAGCAGGTGATTACCGGCACAATGATTATAGTATGATATACGGCCGGCCAAATGCCGAAAGACCTGATTTGGGTTCTTCATTCAAGAGAACTCAAAACGGATTTAACACGCAAATGACAAGGGTCGTAGAAATATCTCCTCAAGTGCCTCGTATGTAGACGCTTAGATGTGCGTCTGTTTACCAACATGCACACGTCATCCAAGCAGCGCGGTACCTACTGCAGCGCATCACATCACAATGAAACACCTTTAAATTGAACGACTGCCCCTCCGCCTCCACCTCCGCGTCGCCCCAGACGGGGTCAGACGTCCGGCGATTAGGAGAGGTGGCCTTCGAGTCGACAGCAGCGCGCCGGAGAAACGATTCGCTGAAGGATTTAGATCTGTGTTGCGCCCCAGCTTAAAATGCGAGTCACGAATCCCAAGCCTCTTAGCGCTGTCACGTGCTCGTCCGCTTTCGCTTCCAAAGCGGATAATCCCGTTCATAAAGAGCGAAGTGAAGACCTTGCACGTGGTCCGCAATCTCCACATTCGTCGCCTTCCGTAGTAAGCAGAAACCGTTGGCCGGTCAGCGCCATGGCTGGTATTCAAGTGAATTTAAAATTCACTTCAAATGTGCACCCATCCACCTGGTGGGCGATTATCTTTAGAGCATTAAGTAGATAATAGGCTTACGGCTGGGCACGTTAGTGCACCAAACTGATAAAGTCTTTGCACACCACGCCACAGCCAGTGACACACTACTCAATGAGATTGCCGAGGATCCAGTCGATGTAGAAGGACACCTTGGTGTAGATGCCGGGAAATTCAGGGTTCCCACAGCCAACGCCGGTGGAGACGATACCAATGAGCTGGTAGGAGGCGTCGGCAAGCTGGACCATCAGCGGACCCACCGAGTCTCCCCGACACGCGTCCCGTGGCTTGTCGTCGCGGCTGTCCGCGCGGGTCTTGGTACCTTGAAAGCCACCGGGAAATGTCATGTTGAATACCGGCGCCCTGCGGTAGGCGTTCTCACAGACGTCCTCGTCGACCACGCGCAGCGGCACCTCATGCAGCACGTCGGCCGTCTCGCCGCTGAACTCGACCAGGCCCCAGCCGGCCATCTCGACGTCCTGGCCGTGGTGTTGCGAGCCGGCCGGCGGCAGACAGATGGGCCGCACGGCGTCTGTCAGCTGCACCGGCGACTGCAGCCGCACCACCGCCAGATCCTTCTGCGAGACGTGGTACTGCGGGTGCCGCGCGATGCTGGTGATGTTACGCTCCTGGTGACGGACGTCCTCGAAGGTGGTGAGATCATGATCGCCGATGCGGGCGACCACGGTGGCGGCCTGCTCGGGCCGCATGCAGTGGGAGGCCGTGAGCACGTGTCGGTCGGTGATGAGGACGCCGCCGCAGAACCACTCCTGCCCGCCGGCGTCCGTCTGCCGGCGGGACAGCACCATCCACGGCCACTTACCGAGTAGAGCGTCAAGGCCGCCAACACTTTGTACCATAAACACAGGACCTAGGAAATCCTTGTCGTCCATCACTATGTCATGTGATGCAATGACTGTCGTGTCACGGCGGAAACGGATAAAGGCAGTGATTGTTCTGTTAGGGTCGCCGCATTCTTCGGGCAGCAGCTCTGTCGGGTTTACACGCTCCGGTGAAGTGGCTTCAGTAGACTCGCAGCAGATGAGTGGCGTCCGGCCCGAATTGGTCTTGTGTTGTTGGTGTTACGGCGCTGATCATTGCAAACAGTAAGATCACGTGACGCGACCAGTCCTCCATGTTAGCGATAGTCGCGTCGCCACCTCTCGCACGACCGCTGTCACCTACTCTCGTCGTCGCCTGGCCCGGCGCAGTGGAGCCATCTGGGCCAGCGGCAGTGCCGTGGCGGTCGTCATCAGGGGTGGGCCCACGCTCCACAGGCTTTCCGAACGGATGTCGCCGCACACATCGGATACAACTGCAGCCGACTCCCGCGGAATTCTGGTGTAGGCAGGCAAACAACAAGATAGCGGTCTCACCATTGCTCAGCGTGAGCACAGCGGACCTTCCCTGCAGGCAGCGGTCGTGGAGGTCGGCAGCGGGGACTTCTCCATACAGATAGCTCATTGATAAGCGAAGTACAAGACCTAGATGGTTCAGGATCGTTGACATATGGCCTTATCTTGTTATGGCCTTTTCGCAGGGTCCATCCAACAAGCTGTCGGCGGCCATACCTTCAAAACCATTTCCGATTTTAATCTTTGCTTCCGCGATCTTGCACAGCGATTTTCTCGCCCCATGCATTGCGCCGGCCTTGCCAAAGCGAGTCTATGTTTCTGGTCTCTACTAACATGGCGGACGGCTCCACCTACCAACAAGCGGACCACTCCATTCACCTGTCCTTTCTAGTCCGCATATGTATGACCAGAACAATAACTGTGCCCCGTTTCCGCCGTAAAGCAAAAGCTATTGAAGCACACGACACACTTCTGGAAGACACGGAGTTCTTAGGCCTTGGGTCCATCCAACAAGCTGTCGGCTGCTTCAACGCTGTTCCCGGTAAGTGGCCGTGTATGGTGCTGTTCGGCCGGCGGACGGACACCGGCAGGCAGGAGTGGTTCTGCGGCGGCGTCCTCATCACCGACCGACACGTGCTCACGGCCGCCCACTGCCTGCGGCCCGAGCAGGCCGCCACTGCGGTCACCCGCATCTGCGATGATGACCTCACAGCCTTCGGGGACGTCGGCCACCAGGGACGCCACATCGCCAGCATCGTGCGGCACCCACAGTACCGTGCCTCAATAATAATGCATCCGGTTTCCTGTTTTGCTCATCTGTATGTTGTCAGCAGTTAAACGGCGGAGGTGGAGTACCGTAGTTAAGGGCGAACCACCGTTTACCTGGAGACGGCCGTCCATGGTGCCCGATCGGACCTACCATCCGCCAGTACGTCGGTCACCACCTTTATCCTAGCCCTGTGGCTCGCAAGTGTGTGTTGATGTCGGGTGCACAGGAGTCATAACGAGCCGAGTCGTGCGTGTAATATCATCTGGCTCGTGTGCTGGCCAATGAGCTGCTCATTATAAATTGACTCTTGTGAGGAGGCATGATAGCGGCAGGCGGCGACGCAGAGCATCAACGCCGGTTTCTTCGCGAGTGCGACACAATAGCGATTGTGATGCAATACGATGCTTCCATTGTTGCGGGCACAAATTGGTGCGAATCGTAATATGTATTGTGCGTGAAGGTCGATTGTTGCGGGCACAAATTGGTGCGAATCGTAACATGTATTGTGCGTGAAGGTCGATTTGTAGGAATAATGTCCGACGGATCGGTTTTGTCCAACGTCAGGTTTAAATAAGCAACAAAACCATTGAAAGGGCGAAACGTGTCCGTCGCTGATTTCATGCCAAATTTGGGTTACTGAGTATATATGTAGCACAAGAGATATGCTGCAGCCCACAACGCTGGGGTTTTGATAGCAAACGTGCTGTGAAGCTTGCTGTGCACTCTATTCGAAGATGGTTTTCTTATATAACCAATAATTTATTTTTCTCGGAAGGACGTTTCCAACTCAAGACAAAGCGCTGGTCGCGCTCTCTTAAGGCGGCCACACTGGTCACAAGCCTTTGTCTTAAAACTCCTTCCAGTTATCAGCATGCCTGCTAAGGAACTTGTGTCAGTCGTGATGTACTATTACATGCAAGAACCGTCTATCAGTCTACACAAAACGATGTCCGTAAACTCTCGGCCGCAGGTACCGGGCCATGAAATTATCATTATCACTGTTTGTGGTTTTCTGTCTCGGACCACCATCAATGATGGATAAATAAATAATTATACAATGATAGTTATATAAATAATTGAGGGTAAATAACAAAACAATAATTTCATCGATCAATCAGGCTGCTTCACTAACAGATTGTTCAGTGAACAGCAATATATTCTACGTTTCTCACATAACTGCACCTGCACGTCAGCGTGCAATTGGCATGGCAATGGTAGTACAATGCAGTGCAATGGACAAACGATAGTGCAAAATGCAATGAATGCTTCGTCTAAGGCAAAGCTAGTATCCGAACGAAAGAAAATATCTTTGGAACCCAAAGACGTAACATATGGAGGATAGATCAGGGAGATATCAGGTTTTGGGGGTAGCGAAGGTAGCCCTGTCGCGTTAGACCCCACACCCATCCCACCAATCGCTTTTTGACAGTGACACCAAAAGATAGAAGGAAATAAAAAATAGAAAGACAGCTTCGAAGATGACTCATATGAGAGGAAACCAACAGCATCACGCCGTCCGGTTATAAGTTGTGTTTAAACAATGGCATGAGTTCCAACCATATGACTTGCAAGATCACGCTCTTGTCTATGCATGCATTATTGTCATGGCTTCCATAGACATCAACTGCCACACAGCGTAATCACCTAGGCCGTGCATTTGCTGGACGTCCCCGTTCGACGACGCAACCGCCCGCAGTGCCAGGCGGTAAATCCCGACTGAAATGAATGGCGGCAGAGGCGAATCGGTAATTATCCAGCCATTATTCACGCGGCAGATCAGCCAGTGACCTCACTCAGGATAAAACGGACAGCCTCACCGGCGGTGCAGCTCAGAGTGAACCAGCACACTATCCGCATACAAAAGACGTGTACGCAGCGCTGGCGGCGCTCGCTGGCGCCGCGCCAGACCGAGCGGACCAGCAGGGAGGCGCTGGAGCCACACAGACGGCCCCACTGCGCCGGGCCAGGCGACGGCGAGAGGAGGTGACAGCAGTCGTGCGAGAGGTGGCGCCGCGGCTATCGCTAACATGGAGAACTGGTCGTGTCACGTGACCTTACTGTTTGCAATGATCAGCGCCGTAACACCAATCGAGTTTTTGGACCGGTCTGTACGCTGCAGTGGTGAGGACCAACAGTGCACACCAATCCTCGACTGCACCGCCTACAAGACAAGAGCGGACATCCTGAACAAGCCACCGACGCCCTGTGGCTTTTCGGGCCGGACGCCGCTCATCTGTTGCGAGTCTATTGAAGCCACCACGTTGAAGCGTGTAAACCCGGAACAGCTGCTGCTGGGGGAATGCGGAAACCCTAACAGAACAATCACCGTCTTTATCCGTTTCCGCCGTGACACGACAGTCATTGAAAAACCTGACCCACTTCCAGAAAACACGGATTTCTTAGGCCCTGGGACCATCCAACAAGCTATCGGTGGTTTTGACGCCATACTCGATAAGTGGCCGTGGATGGTGCTGTTCGGCCGGCGGACGGACGCCGGCAAGCAGGAGTGGTTCTGCGGCGGCGTCCTCATCACCGACCGACACGTGCTCACGGCCACCCACTGCATGCGGTCAGAGCAGGTCGCCACCGTGGTCGCCCGCATCGGCGATCATGATCTCACCACCTTCGACGACGTCATTCATCAGGAGCGTAACATCACCAGCATCGTGCGGCACCCGCAGTACCACGCCTCGCAGAACGACCTGGCGGTGGTGCGGCTGCAGTCGCCGGTGCAGCTGACGGACGCCGTGCGGCCCATCTGCCTGCCGCCAGCCGGCTCCCAGCACCACGGCCAGGATATCGAGATGGCCGGCTGGGGCCTGGTCGAGTTCGGCGGCGAGACGGCCGACGTGCTGCAGGAGGTGCCGCTGCGCGTGGTCGACGAGGACGCCTGTGAAGACGCCTACCGCCAGGCGCCCGCGTTCAACATGACATTTCCCGGCGGCTTTCAGGGCACCAAGATCTGCGCGGGCAGCCGCGACGACAAGCCACGGGACGCGTGTCGGGGAGACTCGGGGGGTCCGCTGATGGTCCAGCTTCCCGACGGCTCCTACCAGCTCACTGGCATCGTCTCCACCGACGTCGGTTGTGGCAACCCCGATTTTCCCGGCATGTACACCAAGGTGTCCTCCTACATTGACTGGATCCTCGTCTTACTGAGTAGTGTGCCACTACTGGCTGTGGCATTGTGTGCTAAGCCTTTATCTTTTTGGTGCACCAATGTGTCGAACCGTATGCCCAGGGTCTACTTGATGGTGTAAACAACATACTGGTGATTGCCGACATACTGGTGGTTGTGTAGAATTCGAAATGACTCAAACCTGGCCGATATCAAGCTTGCTTCAACTTTCAAATGTTTGTGTGGTACACGATAATCAACGGCGACGTATTTTTCTACAGCGCGTGGAGTTTAGTAGCTGAGAACATAAAAGAGGAAGTCGGAACTACACAAAATAGCATGATATGCCACAACATTTGAGAGTAACGTAACGTTATCCAAACTCCTCTTTTCTTCGGTGCGTTTAGGTCACAACCCATGAAGATCCATCTTCCTGTCTATGTGCGACGTAATTCATTGACGACCGTTTGCACGCGGCGGTGTATAATCCAAGCGAATCACGCAGACTGTGCGATGGTACAGCCGTTTTGACTTGGGAATTTTCTTCATCACTTGAGACAGGAAGAAACAGTTTTTACAATAGCTCTCAGGTTTTGAGCAGCATCCGCAGCGCACGCTTTAGCACAAAGAAGGCAGTCTAATGAGACGAATCTATGCATTTCAAAGACATATGGGTTCATTACTTATTCATTTAACCGAAGCGTCTGGCTGCACCCATACTACAATGCAGAGATGACCGTGATGTCCCGACACCGTGCAGATTGCATGAGTCAGCTTTGCCGTGCTGTGAAAAGTGATAGGGCAAGCCGAACAGTGAAGAAACTGCCGCACCAGCCACTGCTCCAAGGCCGACGGACAGCGAGATCAGCACCCCGAGAACATGTTCGACACCTGCTGTGTCTCTCTAATCGCTTTGCAATTTTGTCTTCTGAGCACTGGTAACAGTCTCCCGGACTGGACCCCGCCGTCTGGCATAGGAGGATGATGGAAGCATGGACGAGAACGTTCGACTGAACTGCGCTGATTTTTATAACCATATACTCACAGAGCAGGTAATTACCGGCACTACGATTATAGTATGATATACGAAAGGCTAAATGCCGAAAGCTCCTGATTTGGGTTCCTCATTCAAAAGAACCCAAAGCGGATTCAACACGCGAATGACAAACATTGTAGACTATCTTATCAAGTGACTTGTACGTAGAGGTTTAGACGTACGTCTGTTTACCAACATCCACACGTCATCCAAGCAGCGCAGTACCTACTGCAGCGCATCACACCACAATGAAACACCTTTAAATTCGGTTACCATGCGTGTGAAACTCACACGAAGCATTAACGGGTGTGAGCCAAAGACTGATTGTGACTGCGACTGTGACTGACCACACACAAACATGACCGACCTAAGGCAACGACTGCCCCTCCGCCTCCACCTCCGCGCCACCCCAGACCGGGGGCAGACGTCCGGCGATAAGGAAAGGGGGCCTGGGAGAGCGGCGGCGACCGCAGCGCGCCGGAGGAGCGATTCGCTGAAGGATTTAGATCTGCACTGCGCCCAGGCTTAAAACACGAGTCACGAATCGCAACCCTCATAGCGTTGTCATGTGGTTGTCCGCATTCGCTGCCAACGCGGGAAATCCCGGTCATACAGAGCGAACGGAAGACCTTGTAAATGGTCCGCAGTCTCTAAATTCGTCGCCTTCCGTTGTAAGCAGGAGCCGTCGGCCGGTCAGCGCGATGGCTGGTATCCATGTTAATGTAAAATGTTAATGCTCAAAACCGTTTGGAGTGCTATAGTGTTTCAGATAAGCCCGAAGTTCAAACGTGTTTGAGTACAGACACGACGTATTTATAAACAAGCTAACTTTAGATCTTTGTCGAAATTTCAAAACATCTCAATTATACAATACCTCTGAGACTGACGCATGTTTCTTTTGATACTCTGGCGCGGTTAAGGTGGATTTTCGAAAGATAAGACAGTGGTATTAACCTTATTTCTTGGCAAAAGCTTGGGATATGGATATATAGTTAGGTTGATTTCGATCATACTGCAGTACTATGCCTTTCTCGAAACAGTAGCAGAAGACGTCTGCTGTGGTTTGGAGCAAGGCATGTTGCCAAAATAGCAGCCTAACTATATCTCTATTTTCCTGTCTTTCGAAGATAAGGCTTATACTGCTGTCTTATCTATGTCAACAATGCTCCTCGCTATTGCACTGAACAACTTACGCAATGGGTTTTCGAAATCATGACCGGCAGATGTGATCCAATGCAAGCTGGCATCTAAAAGGGTGAGCAAAACCCTGAAGTGTGTGCCAAACAACTGAAAGGGTGCATGAATTTTCACAGCCGTCTGGTATGTTCAATTTAAACCTACCTGGCCTCAGTATATTTGCTTTCAGTCCTAGTCAAAACTATGCAAAGTCAAGTCTTTCTCTCCTGGCATGACATCAAACGTGGCCGTTTTTATTTGACACCTTCCACTGAACTAGGGCCCAAACAGACGTTACCATTTTTGGGACTGCACGCCCAACAGAGCGTTACCAGGAGGGCGGGGGGGGGGGGGGGGGCGCCACACATAACTTTTCTTGTATTTCTCATGCCGGCTGAGTCGAGAGCATCCTCCGCATGCTCACAGCGCAGCATTTGAACCGGGATTGCACGAACAGAAGTCAACGTCGTAGGCTGGCGTTGTCGAATTTCTTATCTATGTCCTCAGCTGTTTAGCTCTGAGCGCTGTGAAACAGGAATGCATTCCAAAAGATTTTCGTATAAAGCGCCCAAGTTGGAATACTGAGACAAGCTTGGTGTAAGGTAGCTGTAATTTTCTTCAAATGTACACCCATCCACGTGGTTGGTGATTATCTTTAGAGCAGATGCTAGGTAGATACTGAGTAGATACTAGGCATGCGGTTGGGCACGTTAATGCACCAAACTGATGTGCTCTTTGCACACCATGCCACAGCCAGTGACACACTACTCAGTAAGATTGCCGAGGATCCAGTCAATGTAGGATGACACCTTGGTGTAGCTGCCGGGAAATTCAGGATTGTCACAGCCGACGCCGGTGGAGACGATGCCAGTGAGCCGGTAGGAACCATCGGGCAGCTCGACCATCAGTGGACCCCCCGAGTCTCCCCGACACGCGTCCCGTGGCTTGTCGTCGCGGCTGCCCGCACAGATCTTGGCGCCCTGAAAGCCGCCGGGAAATGTCATGTTGAATGCCGCCGCCTGGCGGTAGGCGTTCTCACAGGCGTCCTCGTCGACCACACGCAGCGGCACCTCCTGCAGCACGTCGGCCGTCTCGCCGCCGAACTCGACCAGGCCCCAGCCGGCCATCTCGACGTCCTGGCCGTGGTGTTGCGAGCCGGCCGGCGGCAGACAGATGGGCCGCACGGCGTCCGTCAGCTGCACCGGCGACTGCAGCCGCACCACCGCCAGGTCGTTCTGCGAGGCGTGGTACTGCGGGTGTCGCACGATACTGTAGGTGTTGCGCTCCTGGTGATGGACGTCCCTGAAGGTGGTGAGGTCATGATCGCCGATGCGGGCGACCACGGTGGCGGCCTGCTCGGGCCGCATGCAGAGTGCGGCCGTGAGCACGTGTCGGTCGGTGATGAGGACGCCGCCGCAGAACCACTTCTGCCCGTCGGTGTCCGTCCGCTGGCCGAACAGCACCATCCACGGCCACTTGCCGAGTATAGCGTTCAAGCCGCCGACACCTGATACCTGAAACCCAGGGCATGGGAAATCCGTTTCGCCCATAACTACATCACGTGTTGCAATGACTGCCGTGTCACGGCGGAAACGAATAAAGGCAGTGATTGTTCTGTTAGGGTCGCCACATTCCTCCGGCAACAGCTGTGTCTGGTTTACACGCTCCGGTAAAGTGGTTTCAGTAGACTCGCAGCAGATGAGCGGCGTACGGCCCGAAAAAAACCACAGGGCGTCGGTGGATTGTTCAGGATGTCCAGTCTGGTCTTGTAGCCCGGACAACCGACGATTGGTGTGCACTGTTGGTCCTCACCATTGCAGCGTCCCGACCGGTGCAAAAACTCGATTGGCGTTACGGCGCTGAGCAGCACAAACAGTAAGATCACGCGACACGACCACCGCTCCATGCTAGCGCGAGCTGCGGCGCCACTTCTCGTACGACTGCTGCCACCTCCTCTCGCCGTCGCCTGGCCCGGTGGTCTGTGTGGCTCCAGCGCCTCCCTGCCGCGCCGCTCGGTCGGGCGCGGCGTCAGCGGGCGCCGCCAGTACTGTGCACACGTATTTTGTATGCTAAAATCCGCTAGTTGACTCGGAGCTGCTTTGCTGGTAGGCCTGTTTGTTTTATGCTGAGCGAGATCATTTGCTGATATGCCGCGTGCAAGGCTGGATCATTACCATTCCACAATCGACCCGCAATCGTCGCAGTCGAGTTTTACCGCCTGTCACCCTGGCGGACATCGACTTCGAAGAAATGTACGGCCTCGGGTGATTGCGCTGTGTGGCGGCTGGCGCCAATGCCAACCTGATGGTCCAGTACTGTTCGCCTCCTCTCAGGTGCCTTGCATTTTGGCCTTTATTTTTAATCATATTCATTTTGTTTTATGGTGTCACTCTCCATAATCGCTTGTAGGTGGGGGGGGGGGGGGGGGCTGATTTCTTTCAGGATTTCGTCCCCTGTAAGTTGTTTTCCAGGTATTCTAGCGTTTTTGTTTCGTATGAAACCTAATTTTGCTGCTGTCGAAGGAGCCATTTCATCTTGCACTCACACTTGGCCCTGCATTGCACTGGACTTACGCTTGTTTGCCGATTACGCGCCAATGTGAAGGTACAATTACGTGAGAAACTTATCAGCTGCATGGCTTGGTGTGATTGCTATCTGTTGCGGTTGATGTTAATTGATGCGTGGACAATAATGCGTGCAATAATAAGGAAAAATCACCTGACGCGCGGCGAACCGGATGCATGATGGTGCGACATGCGCAAATGATGTGGTTGTAAATAATTTTGTAATGAAAACGCAAAGCTACATAGCCTACGTGATGCTGGCTTCCTCTCAGAGGCTGAGCTGCTAAAAACGGTGAAATGGGGGGCGTGGGCAGCCGGCAGGGCATACCTAATCTGCTTTCAAACTCTGATTCCTTCCTGGATTTACGCAGGTGTCAGTTGCGTCCCAGGATTAAAAACACGTGCTATGAAGATAGTGTTCATTTCACATTGCAATGACAATTGGCCACTGTTTTACATCGCACTTGCCTTCGCATGCCAATTACACGCCGATGTGAAGCTGCAATCTGCGCGAAGCTCACAATGAGCTGTAAGCTACCACAAAACTTGGAAGTAAAACGGACTGATTTATTCAATGAAAGTTGTTCTCGTTTATCGGTCATCGATTGTGGTCTGAGATCCAGAAACACCATCTTATTGACATGTAGATTGCCTGGCATCTGCGGCCGAGAGTTTACCGAAAACGTTTTGTGTAGTTCGATAGTAGGCTCTTGCATACAAGAGTACATCAGAACTGGCACAAGCTCCTCAACAGGCATACTGATAACTGGAAGACAGATGACAGACAAAGCAATGGCTGGCGACCAGTGAGACTGGTTTGAAAGATCGCGGTCGGCGCTTTGCAAGAGTTTAAAGTGTGTTTTCCAAAAAAAAACTGTTGGTAATATAGGAATCGTCACGTTGAATAAGATCCAAAGCAAGCTTTATCACGTTGCAATAAAACACCCAGCGATGTGGCCTGCTGTATATCTCTTGCACTATATGTGGTCAGATGCCCAAGTTTGGCATGAACATCAGGGAGAGACACTTTCAACCTTCCAATGGCTTTGCTGCTTACCTATGTCGGGTCGCTGACTGTCCTCATCCGTTAAACATTGTTTTGACAAACTGGCATTTACGCAAAATTCAAACACAAGTCGCACAAAATTGTGCAGGAAACGCTGGAACCATCCTATCGCATCGCAATTAGCCTTTTACCACGCGGAAAACCTATGGAATTTGTGATCGATTTTTGACCCACCCCAGTTATCCTCTCATGCTTTTATTCAAAGACAAACGACGTCTGATTGATAACAACGACACAATTAGGCAACAGGAAACTCGGCAGTTCGCGTAAATTTATGATTCGGAGACAGAATCTGGAGATGTGGGCTATGCCAGCTTGAAAAACGAGTTCTAAATCTCAGACCTTCTTGGTGCGTTACGTGATCTTCCGCTTCCGCTTCCAACGCAAAAAATCCCGGTCATAAAGAGCGAACTGTTGACCTTGTACATGGTCCGCCATTCCGGCAGCCGTCGCCTTCCGCGTTCTTTCCGAAGCAGATTGCATACGTGCAAGTTTAAGAACCAGACGCCGATTTCAATGTCAGCTCTAGTCACTAGCCGACGGAGAACGCTCTGGCTATACCCCCGCGTACCCCGCTTTCAGCGCACCGACGATCGTCTCCATCCCCGCAACGTCAGCCGCATCCGACACAGCCACCCACCAGTGGCGGAGCGCAGGTGACGCTGCCCATGGCTAAGATTGGAGAGCAAGTGACGCTGCCTATGCTTCAGGACTCGCAGCAGGTGACGCCATCTAACGTCAGAAGCGTGCAGCAGACTGCGCTGGAGAACCCGCACGTCAGCGCCTGCGCACCATCAGCGGCATCCACGACCAGTCATAATCGCATGCCGTGTCAACCGATCTGGTCTTCTGACATGGGCGCCCCTTCAACATAACAGCGGGCAGATCATCTGGCGCAGGTGAAGGCAGCGTTAACGCGTGTGTTTGATACAGGCCCTGGACGGTGCACCACGGACATGCAAAGTCGTGGATAACATCCTTGCGCATGATGACGACTGCACTACTCATGTAGGCCAAGTATGGACAGTATTGGAGTAGTGTGATGAAAACGGCATCACATCGAGCCCTGCCCAGGTGGAGTTCGCCAAGACGGAGGTTGGACTTGGTCGAACGAAAAGAGGAGCGAGGCAAGTTACGTACTGGTCAAACATAGACAACGACATGGCCAACATCGTTAGCTCGTGTTGTGACTGCAGGCCACTACTGTCCGGGAACAAGAACAATAAATGTTTGACGGACCATCTACCAAGCAGTTTTCTTGTCTGTCTCAGCTGACTACTTTCAACATGCCGGCAAAACCTACCCTGTGTATGTGAATCGTTTATCCAACTGGTCCAACGTCACTGAGTGTCGAGGAGAGGCGACACCACGTCAGCTGGTCGAAGTGCAGCGTGACGTGTTTGCTGGGAACGGTGTGCCAACTGTGCTCCGAACTGACGCTGGTCTTCTGTTCAGAGCCAAAGGACGGGAGATTTTCCGTCCAGATGGGGGGGTGGGGGGGGGGGGGCCCTTGTCTTATCTAGCCCCCATCACTCACAGAGCAATGGACACGCCGAATCTGCAGTGAAGTCGATCAAGCGGCCCATTGTGAAGGCAACGTAGCACGTCGACCTCGACAGCAATACATTCGCCTCGGGTCTTTATTTGCCGAGCCTTTGTTCACCCTCTACCTTCCCAAAAACATTTACGTCAATCGACGCCCTTCAAAAGACAACTTGTATTGACATTTTTAAAGTTGGATGACATCCATGTTCACAGTAAACGTTGGAAGAAGTTGTAAACTCAATGCATTACACATGACAAATGATAGCATTATGCAACGTCCCGACAGATCAGTACATGCTGGATCGTTACCACACAAGTAAGCGACATGGAATGACATACTTATCATCATAGGTGGTTTAGACAGAGGCTCCTATGAACACACCCGGGCTGCAAAGTAACTGTACGCACCTGCAAATCTTTACGCAAGGCCCGTAAGTCACCCGCGCGTCAGAAACTTCCGCAAGCTTAAATTACACATGACGTGCACGAATGTAACAACATCCACGTCGTTGAAGTTATGTTGCTGGTAGGTTATGTAAATGCGCCTTATGTTACCCGTGTGACGCATAGACATATAGACTGTCTGTGAGGCTGTGACAAAAGTACTTCCACACAAGATACCAGCCGGACGTGGACGTCTTACCAGTGGAGGCGTCAAGGCAACGGTGGGGTCGCCTTAGTCCCCAGTCAGGCCCGCCTCAGTCCCCGGTCAGGGCCGTCGCAGTCCCTGATCAGATTCGCCTCAGTCCCTGGTTGGGGCCGCCCCAATCCCCAGGGTCGCCTCTGTCTGTGGCCAGGGTCGCCTTGGTCCCTGGTCAGGGTCGCCCCAGCTCTGGTCAGGGTCGCCTCAGTCCCCTGCCAGGGCGGCCTCAGTCTCTGGTCAGGGTCGCCCTAGTCTCTGGTCAGGGTCGCCTCAGTCCCCTTCCAGGGCCGCCCCAGTCCCTGGTCAGGGCCGCCTCAGTCTCTGGTCAGGGTCGCCTCAGTCCCCTGCCAGGGCCGCCCCAGTCCCTGGTCAGGGCCGCCTCAGTCTCTGGTCAGGGTCGCCCCAGTCTCTGGTCAGGGTCGCCTCAGTCTCCTGCCAGGGCCGCCCCAGTCTCTGGTCAGGGCCGCCTCAGTCTCTGGTCAGGGTCGCCCCAGTCTCTGGTCAGGGTCGCCTCAGTCCCCTGCCAGGGGCACCCCAGTCTCTGGTCAGGGCCGCCTCAGTCTCTGGTCAGGACCGCCTCAGTCTCTGGCTAGGGTCACCCCAGTCTCTGGTCAAAGTCGCCTCAGTCCCAGTCAGGGTCGCCTGAGT